AGGAGGCTAATTCTTCCCAGCAAAGGAGGAGGAATTGTGTACTTCCATTTCCATTAAGCTTTCTCTGGAGCTCTCCTCAGCTTCTGCTGCTGCCCACCTTTCCATGACTTTTCAGCATTATTTTTGTAGCAATTTGGTGTTTCAGACCTTGTCATTGAGAGAGACAACACATCTCCAGAACCACAGGTACCCTCAGCTCTCTGGTTCCAGTTGGCACCGTGGCCTCACACACCACACCATTACTGCAAAGGCTTTGCAGAGAGGTGGAGTGAAGGGAGAGCAGGAGAGGGGAATTGCCCAAAAGATGCAAAAAGCTGGAGAAAAAGCACATCCTTTGCACTCTGACATCACCTGGGAGATGGAAAAATTTCTCCCTCTGGTCTAGAACTTGGTACTCCCCTAGACTGGGGGGGAAGGGGTAGTTTAAATGGCAACAAGAGGCTTTCCCCCCCCACCCCAAACATGTAGTTGGTTTTGCTTTCTGCTCTCCATCACCAGCACTGCTGATGCTCATGGTCTCTCCTGGGCACTTAAGCTCCTTGTTGGAACTGTTTGGTGACTGAGGCCATTGAGTAGGTCTGGCACTTTGTGTCTGCAAAGCCTCACTGACCTTATAACTCCCTTTTCTTTCAGTTTGGTGACCTCACGTCCCTGTCCCCAACACTGCTGGACAAAGGTACACGAGGGAAGTCCTCTGGGTCAGGGTGGGAGGGGGATCTTCGTGCTGGCTCTTCCAGCCTGCTCTGCTGGGAAAAAGCTCCCCTTCCCTCTGGTCCCCTCTCTGATGCTGAGCCATGTCCTTGCAGATGACATCAGTGAGCTGGGCTCTGAGGTGGACACGGACCGGGCCGTGGGGGAGCCGCTGGTGAAGCGGGAGCGCAGCGACCCCAGCCACTCCCTGCAGGAGATCTGAGGCAGGCACGCAGCTCCTCTCCAGCTGGACAAAGACATCCAGAGCCAGGTTGGATGGTCCCAAGCCTGAGCCTCCCCAGATCTGCGTTCTTAGTGCCTCTTAGTTTCTCTTTCATGTTTACTTGTGTTCGAGGATGGATTCCAGCGCCAGGGCTGGCGCTGGGATGGGGCTGGTTTGGCCACCCTCTTCCCTCCAATGTGGTTGCTGTCTGGAGGGAGAAGCTCCAGAGTCTGCTCCCAAGGGATGGAAGCCTCCATGGTCAGCAGCAGATTGGATGTGCCTGGCTGGGAGAGCCTGTCCTCCCTCCCCAGCCGGAGTGAGACAGACAAGTGAGGCTTTCTCCTTCAGGGAAAGTGGTTTGGGTTCCTTCCTCGCTTCTCAGACTTCACTGTGATACGAATTTGAACCAATCAGTGCCCAAGAGGAAGGAAAAATACCTGACTCTTCTCCTGCAGCCTTTCCAGACAAGCTGTCCTGGCTCTAGCTTTGCCAAATCACTTGCACCGGGGAGGACAGGACAGTTGGTCTCTCTTGTACCCACTCCAGGCTGCACATCCCTCTGATCCTGATGGACACGGGAGTGCTCTGGGACTACAGGACGAGCATTCCCACCTGCTCTCATGTCTCCCCAGCTTGGCATTTCACCACTGATCCCTGAATGCTCCCGGGACACCGTCAGGCCAACTCAAGATACCAAAGGACTCCAAGGAAGTGGCAGCCGGTTGCAGAGTGTGTTCATTGCCTGTGGGCAATCCCATGACAATCCCATGGCACCCCTATCCCCCAGGGTGCCCAGGCAGAGGGGCACTGGCCCCACGTCCTGGGGTGTGTGAAATTCCCACTCCATGTCCAGCTGTAACGCTGAAGGAGGTGCAGCCGTGTCCGGAGCAGGGTGAGGGTGTGTGACCACAGTGCCTTAGCGTGGGCCATGTTCCTGCTTACCCCCCCCCTTCCAGGAGAGCCAGCACAGCTCAGACTGATCCAGCAGCTCATCTCATGTCACGAGGGGCTGTCATGGACCCAGGGGAGCTCAGCACTCTGGTGACATTTCCCCTCTCTGAATCCCTTTGCCTTTTCCCGGTGGCTCCTGTGGGGCTGAGCCAGGGGAGCTCAGTGGGATCTCTTCTCCCTTTCCGTGTCCTGTGGGGTCTGTGCTGAGGTGGATTACACTGGGATAATGTGGACTGCACTGGGGTGTTGTGGGCTACAGGGCAGAGGAGAGGGGGGTTGTCATCAAGCCAAACCGCAAAAACAAAGCCCCGGGGCAAATCTTTCTGTGAATAAAGGTCGTGTCATAAGTAGCTTTTATTATTATGGTTTCTAATGATGCAGTATTTGGTGTGAGCTTTTCCAGGGGTCTCGTGTACATTTGCATAGCAGAGTATATTCTATGCAAATCTCTTTATTTCCTCGTTCCCAGTAGTACTAAGGTAGCTGTGACACTTTAAAACACATTAGAAATGGCCAGTGAAACCAAAGTGTGTGTAGTGGCACATTTTCCCTCTGACTGTCCCGTGCTATCGTTGTCTGTAAGCGTCTCATATGGAAATGGAGTGAAATGAGAGAAGGAGAGAAGTGAGAAAGGCAAATTTAAATGTAAATAACAACCAGAACTCCTGGAGTCAGAGTCCAGTGTTTTGGATCCTGCTGATGAGATAAGAGGGTTCAAAAAAATAGCTGAGCAACCAAGTCTTAACTCCCCTGTTCCCACTGAGGGCCATAGGAAGTTCAGCTGGAACATTGGCTCTTTCACCAAGGGACCCCAACCTGCAAACAAGATGCTCTGGAGATCTGCAGCACCGTGTGAGGAGTCTGGGGAAACACCTAAACCCCATGCACAGAATTCCAAGCCTAACCTGAATAGCAATAAACATGTATCCAATGCTCAGGCCTGTACAAGGAGTGTTGTGGTCCCATTTCTTCTGTGTTCCCTGACAGGAGATATCAGGAGATGCTGCAGCACTTTGGAGGGATGCAGGAGCTGCCCAGTGCAGGGTATTCACAGCAGTTTTGGGCAGGGATCCTGTGTCTGCAGGAAGGCAGGATCCCCATGGAGCAGCAGCTGCTGTGTAGGGATAACTCTCCATTACACTCCCAAAGGGGAGGAGAGGCTGAGGGATCAAGCTGAGCATTGGGCCATAGGAAGCACATTTTAATTATGCTTCCAGACTAATTGAAAGGATGGGAACAGCGAGACAGGGATGTGACAAGTGCTGGATCATTCCTGCTCAGATCCCTCAGGAGGGGGAAGGTTTAGCCTCAGCCTCTCACCCTTGTGCTCTTGCTTCCTCCTCCCTCTGGGTTATGCCCAGTCTTGCAGGGGTGGCTGGACCAGCCAGAGTCTCTTCCTTTGGATACTGAACCTCAGGGCTGGAAGCAGGGGGTTATTTCCCCCAGGGGAACTGGGCAGCACCTCCCGACCCTGAGCTGCAAGTGGAGAGCAAACACAGCTCAAAATACTCCTCGCAGTACACACAGCCCCCCATCCTCAGCCTACCTCTGGCTCCATCACCCCTCCACGGTGGGCAAATCCAGAGAGATTCCAACATAAGCATCCCAGGACTTTCTCTTCCATCTCTTCCCAACCAGCAGAGAATGCCAGGAGGTGGCAGGAGAAGGGGAGATGGCAGGGATTGACACCAACCCCAGAGAAATCAGAGGGGTACAACATTCCAGAAGCAGTTGGACATTGCCAGTCCCTGTGACTCATCCCAAAAGGATGAGCTTCAAGCTGGACAGTGCAGCACAGCCCAGGGATTCATCAGGAGCAGCCCTGCATGGGGAAGCTGCAAGGCCACCAGCCTGGGAGATGCTGCTGGTCTGGTGACAGCCAGGACGTCATGGAGAGCTTCAACATGTACGTGCAGGCAGGATGAGCCCTGGGCTTGCCTCCTGTTTGTCCCCAAGGGAATGTGTCCCTTGACTGGGATGGGTTTAGCTTCATGGTCTGGCACTGGCACTCCTGGATTTTACCCACAACCTTGGCTGTGCCTCACTGAGGCATCAGAGAACAGGCACCTACATCTGGAGAGCCTCTGGGACACAGGCACTTGCAAAGTGAGGCGATGCAAAGTTCTCCAAATGGAAACCAAAGCAGATTTGAAACCAGGTGCCAGAGGCACCTTCTGTTCTTTACTCGCAATTTCTCTTTTATTCTGACTGAAACAGCATCTTACCTTGTGCCAGGCAAGTCCTTGGCTGGTCCATGTGGTCACAGGGCACAGAAACATCAGCCCAAGCCCTGTCCGGACCCACAGGTGAGGGTCAGCTGGGTCGGGCTCCCAGCATCAACCCTGCCAGTGACACTTCCAAGTTTTCCAGCCCTGGCATCATTCCCAGCCCAGTATCATCCCCCTACCTGCCCCAGCCCCTGCTGCTCTGACCCCCCTGTTCTCATCCCCATGTGTCCTCCCCCCCCCCCCCCCCCCCCCCCGGGGCCCAAACCATAGTTTTGTTTCCTCCCCCCACCCCTTCCCGCAGCCCCGGGCCCCCCCCCCCCCCCCCCCCCCCCCCCCCCCCACAGCCTGCCCTGGGCTGCACCCCATTCCTGGGGCTCTCCTGCTCCCTCACTGGGGCGGGAGGTGTTTCTGAAGGGAGAAGGACCTTTGCCAGTCACTCTGGCAGCACTGAGAGCCCAACTCGATGTCCTGGGCTGAATCTTCCTCCCTCCACCTCCCCATGGCTGTTTCTGATTGTGCACAAGGCAGAGAAACTGAGGCAATGCTCAAGAGGCCTCATGGCATCAGTTCACTGTCCCCCTGGGTACCAGAGGGGAGAGATTCTGCTACCCCTGTTCCTGCTGCCCCTGGCCTGGCTCTTGAAGCCGAGGCAGGAGGAGCCTGATTGGTCCCAGGGCTCAGCTGGGGCAGTTTAACCACAAACAGGTTTCACCTGGAGCAGGTGGGTCTGGGGGCAGATCCACAACCACCCCTGCAACTCATTCAGGGTGGTTATGCTTATAAACCCACAGCCTCCTCACAGCAAGGGTTCCCTCTCTCTTTCCTTTTTTTTTTTTCTTTTTAATTTTTTTAAATTTTTTTTAATTTAATTTTTTGGGGGCTTTGTGTTTTGGGAGCCTCAGTTTGGAGCTGGGGAGAGTTGGGATCTGCTGCCTCTGGGTATCTGGAATGTACTGCTAAGACTTTCCACGCTTCCCAGCGCTGCCGAGCAGGTAAGGAGGCAACACCCAGCTGCCTCCACTCCCTCTTCCCTGGGCTGGGCTTGGGGGCTGCAGCCCCGAGCAGGGTTCAGGTGGCAGTCAGGATGTGTCCCAGCGCTGTCCTTCTCCTGTGTAACGTCCTAGATCAAGGATAATGTCATCATGCAGCTCAGGGGGGGCCTCAGGGCTCGATTCCCGGCCCAGATGCAACACTCCAGGGCCGGTGCAAGGAAATTCCTTCCTGGCACGGCACCTCCTCCCCCCGCGGAGCCGCTCGCTAGCCCTGCTCAGCCAGGAGGACGCCTTGGAGAGCTTCGACGGGTACGTGGTGCCGGGATGTGCAGGGGGGGCTGAGCCCCGGTCTTTCCCTGTATTTATCCCCAAGGGAATGTGTCCCTTGGCTGGAACGTGTTTAAGTTCATGGTCTGGCTCTCCCAGCCTGGGGAGGCTCGCAGGGGACAGGCTGATGTTGTTCCCTGTAGCCAGGGCAAAGCAGGTGTCCCTGGTGCCTCTACTCTCCCACCGTCGTGGCTGAGCCCTTGGGGACACTTTGCATGTCCCAAAGGCACCACCCACCTCACACCTGTGTCCCCACAGCTCTGCCAGAAGGGTCCGTGACCTGAGTGATGCTTTGGGCTCTGACCTGCTGGACCGCAGCTGCTCCCTCCCCGACCCGCAGCTGGTCCGCAGGATCGTGTCCCAGGTGGAATTCTACCTGTCCGATGAGAACCTGGCCAGGGACGCTTTCCTCCTGAAACACGTCCAGAAGAACAAGATGGGCTTTGTCAGCATCAAACTACTGACATCCTTCAAGAAGGTAGGGAACCTGGGGAGGAGTGGGAAGGGTGGAGGATGTCCAGGTGTGCTCTGCTGTTTCCAGTGGGGTGTACAGGGAGGTCCAGACTCCCCTCAGGCTGTTCCTGGCAAAGCCCCGATGACGCAGAGCAGGCTCCTCTCTTTGCCTTCAATGCCCTGCAGGGAGGGTGGCTGGGGGAGCAGTGAACAGTCCCCAAACCACCCCTGGGGCTGGATTCACCCATGACTCCCCCAGGCTGCTTTGAGATCATCCCTCAAGCAAAAAACCCAGGGAAGTGCTGGTGGTGTGACATATGGGGAAGCTGAGGTTTACTGCCACAGCCCAGAGGACACTGGGGACTTCCTGCAGACCCCAAGGCCGCTCATGTGGAAGGGGGACATTGCCTTGCCATGATTTTGTGTTGATAAGGTTGCAGCCTGCCTGGATGATGGGTTTAGGGTGGTCCCTGCCTGGGAAGATCACAGGGATGCAGCAGCCCCCTCTCTCCCCCAGGTGAAGTACCTGACACGTGACTGGCAGCTCACGCTCTATGCCCTGAAATTCTCGGAGCTGCTGGAGGTGAACAAGGAGGGCACCAAAGTGAGGCGCCGGGTGCCCATCCCCGAGGCCCTGCTGAGCATCCCCCCCAGCAAACTGCTGCTGGCCTGGGAGCTGCAGCCCCAGGAGCAGGACCCACTGCTGCTGCCACTGTTCCAGGAGAACTTCCTGGAGATCATCCTGAGGATGTTCAGCCCCTTCGGAGCCATTGCCTCCATCCGCGTCTTGCGGCCGGGCCGAAAGCTGCCCTCAGACGTGAGGAGATACTCAGCCAAGTTCCCCGAGCTGCTGAGCAGGTGCTGTGCCCTGGTGGAGTACGAGAGCCTGGACAGCGCCTGCAGGGCCTTCGAGGACCTCGGGCACCGTGACTGTGACAGTGGCATCAAGGTGGTCCGGCTGTGCGGGAAGGGGAACAGGAGGAAACCTGGGGAAGAGAGGCAGGTGGTGGAGGAGCTGGTGGATCAGCCAGGCTGGAAGGTGCAGGGAGCTGCCCTGAGCCTCCCCTACAGCCACGAGGACTCCCTGCTCTCCAGCTCTCCGGGGTCGGATGATGCCTCGGGGCCACTGTCCCTTCTCCTGAACAAGGACCCCGTGGCACCCGCCTGGCCTGGCAGCAACTTCAAGCCTGGGAATTTCAGCACCTTCACCGGATCACTCCTCACCAGCAACAAGGTTTTCCCTCCTCTTGGGCTGGGCTTGGGAACCAGCAGCTGCTACAGCCCCCGCAGCAGCACCAAGAGCCCCTGCAGTGGCTGGGGGGGCACCACGGCTGCCTGGGGACCCTGGAGCAGAAGCCCCTCTCCTGATATTGAACCTCCTCCAGGAAATCCTCTGGCAGCAAAGTGGGTGTCTGAGCCCCTCAGCCTGTGGGACGAGGTCCTTCACCTGCCCCACAGCCCCGATGACACCAAAGGCTTTGGCAGCAGCTTTGGGAGCGGAGAGCTCGTCCTCTGGCGCTGAGGCTCCTTCGCATTTGGGGTTGAGGCTTGTTATTTTCTTTCTTTTCCCTCCTTCTCTCGAGCAGAAGATTTCTCCGTGGCCCCAAGAGCTGTGGGCGCTGGCGGTGCAGCTGCTCCAGGGGATGGAAGTTTTGGGACAAGGACGATGCTCGAGGCGAGAGGCTGAGCAGCAGCAGGAGCTGTGCTGTGTTCATGCCAGTGGGACTGTTCTTGCCTGGGGCCCAGAGTTAGGATAGGGTCCAGGTTTTGGATGGGAAATGGGCAAATAAAGAGAGATTAATTTTCCAGGCACACTCTGGCTGGTGGTGTGATTTTTTTATTTTTTTTTTTTTTTTTAGTTTTTCTTATACCTTTTTCCCCCCTTCCTGGTCTTGCTGCTGCCTGAGCTGCAGACAAGGGCAGGAGGGTCCCTGTCTGCCTCCCTTGTCATTCTTGGGGGGTGGACATTGGTGGGTAGGTGTGCTGCGGGTGGGGTCTTGGTGTGCCCAGGGCAGGTGGCACAGCTTGGCTCAACCTGAGAGGGACAGGACTGGTGGTTGTTGGTCACCTCTTCTCCTGCCCCCACCAGAGCATCCTCTGGCTGCAGCGCTCAGGTTGGACCCCACCTCAGGACTAGAAGATTTTGGGGAGCTCCAAGGGCTGAAGGACTCAAGGGGCCCAAGGACCATGTATTGGGAGCTGCTGTGGCGGCAGGGCCACGGTTCTTTCTGCCTGGCTGGGCTCCCTGGCATCTCCCAGGATGGGGCTCACTGTGTCCTCCCTGGCCCAATAGCTCCTCTTGGAGAGGAGTAGAGTTAAGGGGAGATGGAGTGCCCCTGACCCCCTACAGGTGGCTCTTGAGGGCTGCCTGTGCAAGTGCCTTTGGTCTGCTCCCAGAGCTGGGATGTCCTTGGGATTAGTAGGATGAGTCCCACACCTGGAGTGCTGTGATGGACAGTCCTGGCTGTTCGGGAGAGGTGGGTAGGGCTGGAGAGGGGAAGGTTGTCACCCTATGTGAGGGAGAGGATTGAAACAGTCCCCACAGTTGGAGATGATGAGGTTGGGAGCCTCTGGGTGAGGATGAGGGGGGTGGAAAACGAAGCACGGGTTGCAGCAGGAGATGGTGTCCATCTCCCAGCACTGAGGATTTTTCTGTAGGCAGTGAGGAGAATGCTCTGGATTGGGAGTCCTTGTCCTTACTGTGGATTTCGGTTTCCCAGCCCCTAGCTGGGAATGGCCTCCTGCTGTGGCCAGCAGGTCTGGGAAATTCCTCAAGTCTGTGGGAGAGAACTTCTTGTCTTGAGTACTCAGGGAGCCATCAGGAAAGACACTGTCCTAGACTTGCTGGTTGGGAATGGAGAAGGACTGGTAGGAGCTGGGATGGTCTTGGCCCACAGAGCTGCTGAAATGGTTAATGTGTAAGGAGAAAGAAGGACATCAGAGCTGCTTCCCAGGGCTTGGAGAGAGCAAATGTTCTGTTCCTTAGGGAGGGGCGTAGCAGATTTCCATGGAAATCTTCAAAGGGCTCCTTTGTGATCCTCAGGAGCAGGTGATTCCCTGGCAGAGCCCGGCACATCCTGTCACGTGCCCTGGGTGCAGGAAGAGGGCAGTCCCATTGCCCTGATGCCCAGCTCCCTCCCCCTTGCACCATGGTGGGGCAGGACCACCCACTGCCTGCTCCCCCCAACACACCACTCCAGATACTTGTTTTTTTCAAAAAAATATCCTTTTTATTGGCCTCTCCCTTGGTGCTCCCACAACGTCCCTCAGCGCCTGCAGCCCAACGGGATCTTCAGGGCCTTTGAGCTCACACAGACTTCAGGCTTCTCCCCCTGCCAAAGAGAGGCCAGTAGAGCCCCAGCAGGGACAGGGACATGTCCCCAAGCCCCACTTTCCCCCCAGAACCCTGTCCCACCTGGTAGAGATGGCAAACCAGCCCCAGCAGCGAGGCCTCTGCCTGTGCCTGCAGCTCATCCGTGTGCTTCTGTGGGGGGAGATGGGGCTGCTCAGGAGGGTCCCCATGGTGCCCCAGCCCTGCCTGGCACACTGGTCCCCCTGCCATACCCCGTTGATGACGATCCAGGGCACAAACTGGTGGGGGGGGTCAAGTGCCTCAGTCAGTTGGGCGTTTTGGTGCATCAGGGCCAACCCTGTGTCCCCCTGCATGCAGTCGGCGATATGGCCCCTGTCCAGGTCTGGGGCATAGATCTGCAGGCACTGCCAGGAGAGGGGACACACGGGGCACTCAGGGGGGACAGGGATGTCCCTATGGGGCATGAGGGACAGGGACATCCCCACAGCAGGGCATGAGGGATGGGGGAGGGGACATACAGCCTCCAGGTTCTTGGTGACGGAGCTGCCCGACTCCAGGCAGAAGATGATGGGGAAGTAGGTGCTGAAGTTCTTGGCCTCGTGCATCAGGCAGGCCTATGGGAACAGGGTGGGTGGTACGGGGCCACTGGACTCCCCCATGCCAGCACCACGGGAACAGGGACCATCACCTCGATCATGTTGCCCAAACACTCCTCGGGGCCGTGCTGGCACTGGAAGTCCCACTTCCCGCTGACGTTCCTCTCCTGCGAGACCAACTGGTCTGAGCAGGGCCGGCGGCACCGGGGCGAGTGCCCGCGGCACTGGCTCGGCCAGATCCTACCTGGGCATTGCCATAGGGCACCAGGGTGATGTTCAGCATCTCCGAGGGCAGCAGCAGCCAGGTGGGGAAGAGCTTCAGGACCAGGAACTCACGGCACGCTGGGCACAGGCTCTCATAGTACAGGCTCAGCTCCACCGGGGCAGCCGCGGGGCGAGGGAGGTTGGGGCAGCGGTTCTCCACCTGCGTGCGGGGAGGTTTTGGGGTGCACGGGGGGAATACAGCTGCAGACCCCCAATATTTGCAGGGGGCAAAGCTCCTGAGGTGTGGAGCAGAAGGGAGATAAGGGTGTGCAGGGCTGGAGGGAAGTGAGAGCGGACAAGGGCCTCAGGCAGCCGCAGGATCCTGTGAGTGGCCGAAACCCAGCGCTGGGGTTTTCCACGAGAACTTCCCCAAACTGTTTCAGAGGAAAACAAATTTAGGCCAGGACACGCCTGGGTGGGGGTACAGCCCTGCACCCACCGTCGGGTGGTGGCTGCAGCCCCGCAGGGCTCACAGGGCACTGCCAGAGCCACCGTCACACAGTTGTGACCGCCTGGGGTTGTTCGCGGCAGGAACAAGCTGAAAAGCCGTTTTATGCTTAAAAAGTAAAAGTGCCGGAGGCGGCCAGGGAGGGTCCAGAGTCAGGGTCCGGCTGGAGCACAGCAATTCCCCAGGGATGCCGGTGTGGCACGGGAGCTCTGAGTATCGCCGCGCTGTGCCCGCCTGTGCCACAGCGGCGCTCGGAGCCGCCACTGGCTCCAGGTACCCTGGCCAGGTGATGCCCCAACACCGTCCCCGCGTCCTCATCCCCGCCGCCGGGCAGGCAGGACACGTCCCCACGTGTGGGGTGACCCTGCCCTGCGTGGGGCAGCCCTGGCACCCGTGGCTCTGACCTGGCAGGCGACGGCGATCTCCGGCGAGCTGCACCAGAGGTGGGCAGGGCGGTCACAGCCGGGGGCCACCCCGAGCCCCGGGGCCACCAGGGCCACCAGGGCCACCAGCGCCAGGGCAGGCAGCGGCACCGTGGGGGCCATGGGGACGCCGGGGTGACGCGGAAGCGAGCCCGTCCCAGCAAGGACTTTTAAAGCTCGGCTGCGCCCGCCTCCCTGCGCCCTTCCTGCCCTTCCCGCCTCTGCGGTGACGCTGCCGCCTCACGTGGGGCTCCAGCCGCCCCGTCCCTGCTGGCCTCCCCAGGCTGAGCTGGAGCTCCAGGGTCACAGCCTCGCCAGCCGTTGCTGCTTCCCCGCGGGCTGCAACGCGTCTGGGGCTGAAACCCGACCTGGGGCAGCCCACGCCTGGTGTTTCCCGAGCAGGGAAGGGTCTGGATCCCTGCCGAGCCCCCGCGCAGCCCCCCCGGGGCGGTGCTGGTGCTGGAGACCCCCGGGGGTGGCAGCTCCGGGTACAGGAAGGGGGTGCTGCCCAAGCCATCCCCTGAGCCCAACTCCGGGGCTGAGTGAGTGCGGAGGAACCTCGTATTTCCCCGCTGCTTAGAGCCGCCTTTTCCGGCCGTTTCTCGCCCCTTGGCGAGCCCAGGGCTGGTCTTCACGTGCCCCGGCCCTGCAAAACCGGGGAGGAGAGTCCTGGCACCACTCGCAGGATGGGTCACATCCTGCACCCAGCCCAGGAACTGCCGCCCTCACGCCCCCGCTCCCCACGTAACACCCTCCCCCAGCAATCCAGCAGCCGGGTCATTAACAATGTTTATTTCTTTCCTCTTTTTTGTTCCTTTTTTTTTTTGGTCGTTTTTGTGAGTTTTTTCAAAGTACCGTACAAAAAAAAAAATTCCTATTACAGTAACAAATACTGGATTTACATTAGTAAACATCAACGGAAAGAGCAGAGAGCACTACTGCTGGTAACGGACAGCTCGGGGGGGGGGGGGGCAGGTTATTCGTTATTGCATACGCCTAAGAAACTAAAACCTCACACAGCCACCACGTCCTCTCTGAGCACAAACCTGCACCAGCACCCCTTGGGAGGGTTACACGGGGGGTCATGGAGCCCCTCGAGCAGGGACACTGAGGGACAAGTCCCAAACTGTCCCCGGGGAGCAGGAACAGCCACGTTGCACCCATGGCACGGCTCGGTTGGAGGACGTGGGGGGTCACAAGCAGCAAAGCACAGCCCAGCGCCTCCAAACGCGGCACCAGCGGGTTCAGAACGAGCGAAAGCAGCAAAGGACAAATCACAGCGAGCTTATGCCGGGGGAGCAGCGCTGCAGGAGCTCGGGGGCTGGGCTCCCACCCCAGGGAGTAGCAGGGAAAAAGCTGCGTTTCAGGGAGCCGAGTGAAGCACCGTCAGGGAAAGGCAGCCCTGGGGAAGGGCGTCTTCCACCTCGTCGTACACAGGACGTGCGAGCAGAGCCCTGTCGGGGACAGGCCACCAAGTGGGCAGGAATGGCAGTGCTGGAAGTTGCAGAAGGGTCACCATGACACCACCACCACCCTCTGCTCCTGGGGAGGAAGGTACTGCGGCTGTGCAGCAGAAAGGGACAGCACGGGGAGAACTGCAGAAATTCAGCCCAAAGGGTACAAAATCAGGGTAAATTTCCCTGGGCAGCAGAGCCGGGCGAGCAGCAATCGAAGTGTTGACAGGTGACAGCTTGAAGCTGAGACTCTTCCAGATGCTCAGCAAGTCCTGGCATGAGCTGGGAGCAACTCCCCTTGGCAGGACTGGCCCTGAGCTCACCTTGTGGGGTGGTGGGGAAACGTGGAGTCCATGGGATGAGAGGCTGAGGATCCCATCACCTGCAGCCCATCCCGTGGCACAGGGACATGATGGAAGTGCAGGGACAAGCATAGGACCAGCACAGAGTCCCCAGGCTGAAAATGTGCCACAGTGACCAGTGTGGGAGACTGACAGAGCTTTGGGGTGTTGGTGCAGCCCACCCAGCCATTCCACAGACTCCAGTAGGTCACTGGAGAGCACTATGAGGATGGAGCCTTCCTGCCCCATTCCCACATGCTCTCATCTCTCACGCACCCAAGCCCAAAGAATTCCCTTAATTATCCCTGGCAGCATTTCCCAAGTGATCTCTGAAGCCAGCCACTGCAACCACAGCTCCTGCACCCACTGACCTGTCACCTGCACCACAGCATCAAACACCAACAAACCAGACCCAAAAACCAGGGCCCAGAGAGGACATGCAGAGCAGGGAACAGGGGCTGTACAATCGAGCACAGGAGAACTGCCACAAGCAATGGGAAGAGGACGATTGGGCCAGCAATCCCAGCTCCAAAAGGATCTGGGGACCAGCCCAGGGCAAGGCGAGCAGCAGAGCTGGCCAGGGAAGGAGAGACAGCATGGTCCCCAATGCAGGTGGCACATCAAGGACAGGCTGCAGGCAGAGCACAAGCACACAGCACTCTGTGAAGCCAGCAGAGCCCGAGCTGCCACAGGAAACAGAAGCAGCAAAACCCCATCCCTGGGATGCAGCCTCCCAAAGGGAACGAGCCTCTCCCGCAAATCAAGACCAAGAATGTTTTCCTCAAGCCAAGCAGATGAGAGAACCCAGGGAAGCAAATGCCACCACACCCTCAACTCTCAGCTCAGCTTTTAAAGCTCTTCCAGAGCCACCTTGGCTGCCCTCGGGCCCTCTGAACTCGGACACAATGCCCTGCCCACAGCAGGCAGCCCTGCCCCGGACCCCATACAGTACCCATGATTCTAAGTGCTTTGCATACGTAGTTCACCATCATGCAGATACATTTCAGCGTGCCCTGGGCCCAGCAGATCTGTCCTCCTGCAGCAGAGAGGTCCTTCATTCCATGTAGGGCTCGTAGTGTGCGTTGGACTCCAGCCCTCTCCTGCTCGAGCTGCAGGGCCCAGGGCAGCCTGGCAGCTGCTGCCCACGCTGGGGGTGGCAGTGGGGGCTCAGCAAACACCAGCACCAGGGAAGCTCACAAAAAGAACCATATTTACAGAGCTACAGTCCAGCTTCAAACAGGTTACGTGTGCAGAGAGTCACTGAGGCCAGCCGGGAACAACGAGCTGTGCATCCCACAGATCCTGCCAGGAAAAACACGGGTACCAACACGGATTTCACAGCTTCACTGGCACAACTAAAGCAAGAGATCCATCACTAACTGGATCCTCCCTGCCCGGGCAGCAACAGTCCAGAGGTGGTTATGACACTAGGGAATGACGGTGAGGTGGGGAAACCTCAGCTGGGGAGCCCCACGGAGGGTGAGGTTTCTCCTTCCTAAATGAGTCTCTGCATGCAAGAGCAGCAGCCCTCGTACCAGACACCATCACAGCCTGCAAGACCACCAAGGGAAGCGAGACTGAAGGATGCATATGCTGCTCCTCTGCCTCCTCCAGCATCCAGACAGGGAGCCCCTCGGTCCCAGCTGGAGTGCTTCGAGGAATTGGGAATCAAGCTCTGCAGTGATGCATAGCGGGGCGACCTGCCAGCAAGAAGGGGATCTGACCTGCTTATCAGAGAAGGGGAGGGGGCTGTGCTCGCCCCCAGCAATTCAATCATGACTGGATCCCACCTCCTAGAGGCTGGAGCCCGCTGGGAATCAACAGCCCAGCCTTTCTGTCCCATCAGCCAACACGGGTTTCAGCTACTGACCAAGAGGGACATCAGGAACGGTCACAGACATCTCAGAGGCTCTGAAGGAGCAGGAGCACAGAGACTCAACTATACAGGGTGCAAGAGTCCAGAGCCAGAAAGCAGCGCCCTGGGGAGAAGCTGAAGGCAGCTGTTGTGTTGTGCATGGGCTGCTCATCTGGCTGGTGGCTGGGAAAGGACCGGGTGAGCCAGCGTGACATTCAGGGAGTCATTGTGCTGCACCAGGGACGTGTGCTTGTAGTGCAAGACCAGGTCCTTGAGGGAGGCATAGAGGTTGTAGGGTTCAGCAAACCCATAGCCCGTCGCCGTCTTGTAGATCACGCAGTGCTTGGTGTCACCGTCCACCCTGTCAGGGAGACAAAGAGCCTGGGTCAGCAGTGGGACAGAGACAGCAGGGCATGAGCAGGGGCCCCCAAAGCAGCCCGGAGATACACCTGGCCCTGGCAGGAGGAGCCAAGGCAGAGGGGAGACTTTGGGAAAGCCCACTTGACACCTCCAGCACCTGGCGAAGGAAGGGTGGAACCATGTGGGAACACAGCCCTCACCAGCCCCATTCCACATCTGCACAGGGATACTCACACCACGGAGCAGGCGTAGCATCCCTTCTGGCTGCTTTCACGGATCAGGAAGGTGCCATCCCTCTTGCCACACAGCATCTCCTCTGCCTGCACGCGGTTGATCTTCCCCACGTACCACGTTCGCTCCTCGTGGTGGGGCAGCTCCTCTTCATCATCCATCATGGAGTACTGGCTGCAATGGACCATAGGCAGGGTCAGACTCCCTCAGTTTGGGCACCCAGATCTCCCCCACACTGCTGCTGCCACCACCCATTCCGGCAGGGAAGACTCCTCAGCTCCCACGCAGGGAGCTGGGAGGTGCCCACGGCCTCGGTGCAGGTAGAACCTGCACTCCCACACAAGCAGGGACAGGGACACTCACTCCTCCGTCTCGTTCTTGATGCCCAGCCACTCGTTGATCTTCTTCTGTCGGGCACCCTTCTGTGTGAGCCATCTGGGGGAGGAAAGGCAGAGCTCAGCCCAGGCCAGGGCTCCAGGGCACGGTCATCACCAGAGGGCAGCAGCCACCCCTCTAAGGGCCCGCCGAGCCCCGTGGCCACGCTGCAGAGTTCACTCCTGCACCAAACAGGCTCTGCAGAGTTCACTCCTGCACCAAACAGGCTCTGAGCCAGTCCAATGAGCCCCAAAGCCCTCGAAGAGCCAGCTGGATGGCTCCCGGGCTGTGCTGGAGGGGTGCTGGAGGGGAGCTACATACACCAAGTACTGGTCCCGCAGTTTGCGCAGCTGCATGAGGTCTGGCTTGAGGCTGTTCATGCGCTTGTCGATCTCCCGGTTCTCTGAGGCTTGCTTCTTCAGGTCCTGCTCCAGCTTCATCTTGCTGTCGTGGATCTCTGTGATGCGAGACTTGAGCTTCTCCGAGTTCATGAGGATCCTGGGAGAAAGAGGGGGGCTGTAAGC